GTGACATGCTGCTTTCAACAGGCACGACTTTCGAATGCAAAATGATAAAATTGGAGAGCGTGGTTTATGGTGGTAAACTCGCCAGTGTTATACAAGATGCTCGCAAGCAGCGCGTTCTTCGTGCGCAATCCTACTTCGACTACACCGCATTTTATACGCGGTCCAGTGAAGCGACACAGACAATCCACCAGCACGGCACTGGTGGTGGCCTCGATCTGTATCACCTGGAGTTCATGCTGAGAGATGAGATCCATTACAACGTAGTTAACGCAAGGCCATGTACTAGACCGTCACCGCGACGACAATTGTCCATCACACTTTGACAAGTCGACATCGACGTTCATGAGATTGCAAAAACTGAAAAATGAATACCAACTGCCGGGATTGAACCGGCGACCTACTCGGTGTAAACGAGATGTGATAACCACTACACCAAGCTGGCATTCCTGAGCGATTTCATACTTCTTTAGTATAGACTATGTCAAGGTATTAAATATGTATCTCGAACATATTTAATGAAGACAACCAACCTTGTCAAAAAAGAAAAAGATTGGCCTCCACACAAGAAGGAGAAATTTCGTGCTATATTTGGAGGTGTTTGATTCATTATTCACATAGAAAAAAGATTATTCATACCAATTGTGGGAGGATACAGTGGGCGTTTGCTGGAAGCATCCCATTTGACGTCAGTATCCGGACACTTTTGCTTTGTGGCGGCTCATTTTACCAGAGCAGGGGAGATGGACAAGACCGTGCTGGCGCGAGCGACAGAGGACTCGGACTCGCCGACGCCGGGATACCTGTATGGGGAGATTGCTCGCATGACGCAGCATTCGTTCGATACGTGCTTGAAAGTTCAAGAATACTTGATCGGGCGTTTGAAGAAGAACAAACCCAACATCAAGTACAAGGCACTTCAAGTGATCAAGCAAATTTGCCGCGAGGGACGACAGGAATTCCGTCGAGAAATGCAAAAGCACGTGCCTACCGTCAAGGAAGCTCTTCGTATGTACTCCTGCGCATGTTCTGTAGCAGCGTGAGAGAGATCCTGATGGAATCCATAGAGTTTCGCGGGCCGCCTGATCCGTTGCGTGGCGACGAGTATTACCGCCGCGTCCGCGAATCTGCCAAAGAGTGCTTGGACGCGATCTTCGACACGAACGTGACTGCGGTGGCGGGCATATCCACCCGCATCAAAGGTGTCGGCAACCCTGAAGCCGCCCCGCAGTCGTCGGGTTGGTTCAACAAAGCACCCAAAGACACTGCGCCGACGCCATCCCAAGGACCCAACGTGTACGGCACACAACAGCCGACTGGGTACGACGCACCGGGATATCCTGGTGGGTACAACGGACCTCCCTACCCCAGCAACGACCCCAACCAGTACCCTCAGCAACAGCCCCCGTATCCTGGCGGCCCACTGCCTCCATACGGTAGCAACGCGGGTCCAGGAGGCAACTACCCTGCTCCTGGCATGACCGGGTTGGGCAACCCCATGTTCGAAGAGAAGAAAGGTATACCCTCGATGAAGTTTCCCACCTTCACACGTCATTGTCTTTGTCGACGTAGCCGAAGGCAAAGGATTCTTTGGGGGTCTCAAGGAAAAAGTGTCGTTCAAGTCGGAGCCCAAGGTCACTTTTGCGGGCGCGCCGCCTGGCTCCCAAAACGCGCCCGACGGATGGAACTTTTCCACGAACCGGGGGCCGACCTCCGGCGCGTACAACCCGAATGCTCCTTCGACTTACAACCCGTCAGAGCCATACCGACCCAACCAACAACAACAACCGCCATACAATGCCTCCAATGTCGGCGGATACACTGGCCCCACTTCTTCGTATGCCGCGCCGTCGGGCTTGTACTCTGACACGGACGCCGAAGTGCGCCAAAACAAGTCGCAAGAGCTCCGGGATCGTGCTTACGAAGGCGAGCGCAAGAAAGGCCGTGTCGGTGGCGTCTGGGACAATATGCCGACGCCCACGTTGCCTCAAGCATCCTCGCAACCACGTCCATCTAGCCGACAGGACGACGGACCACGACCTGCCGAACGCATCCACAACGAATGGGCCCAGGAGCAGCAGTACGTGCGCCGCCATTCTGCTGGCCCACCGCATGCCGCTTCGCAACAGCACGATCAGCAACAGCACGTATCCGGGCCATATGGCCGCGGTGGCGCGTCGTCCGATGGCGCGTACGAACGTGGAATCATCGAGGGGTTGTGTGCACCCGGTGGCATGCGTGCCGTCCCGCCCAAGGATAAGCTCGACTTGTTTCTCAAGAGCGCTCTCACGTTGGACGCCGAAGTTGTCGGACCGATCCTGGACGAATTGGTCGGCGCGACGGATGCCTCGTGGCAAGTTGTGTCGAAGGCGCTCACGGTCATCGACGGTCTCTTGGCCACGAACGGCTGCGAAACTTTCCATGAGTACTTTTCAGACAACTACGACATGATTCTGCAAGTATCCACAACGTCGGAGAAGGCGGCCGTGCGCGACCGCGCCGTCAAGATTCTGCATGTGCTCGGGAAAAGTGTGCCGTCGTCGTCTCAAGCAGCTCCTGGCCCCCGACGCTCCAGTGCTGCCACTCAACCGAGCAATGCCGATCTCCTTGGCGGCTTTGATAGCCCCAAGGCAGCGTCCGCCCCAGCTACTGCTCAACTGTCGACGACTGCGCCCCAAGCGCCTGGTGGTTTGTTTGCTGGGCTGCAAACGTCGTCGTCGTCACTCGATGTTCACTCAGCACCGCCATCCCAGCCAGCTCCGTCTGTGCAGTCGGCAACGTCCATGTTTGGCGGGTTGTCGCTGGGTGGCACGGATTCAACCCCGGCCGCTGGAAGTACTTACGCCACCACGGCGCCGACGACGTCTGTCTCGTTCGACCCGCTCTTGCAGCCCGCACCGGTCCCTCCTCAACCGACGTATGCTCCTGCGTACAACCCGAACCAGTTCATGGCCCCCCAACAGCCGTACTACGGAGTCCAGCCGCCTCCAATGATGCCGCTCCCTCCGTCGTATGCGCCACATCCCCAGCAACACGTTCCATTTGTCCAGGCGCCTCCGCCGCCGCCCATGGGGCTGCACCCGCAATACCAGCACCAATACGTGCTGCAGCAGCAACAGTACCTGGCTAAACCCGTCGCTTCGTCTTCGCAAGTCATTGGGGCGGCCATGATCCCGACGGGGTACATCGCCAAGACGATCCACGAACCGACGGACTCGTCTACGTTCAACTTTATGAAGCGGGACGACTCGTTCAATTTTGTCAAGGATCACATGAAAGGGTAGAGTCCGATAGTAACGATGCGCAAATGTCGTCGGTGTTGATGCGGAAGGTGGTCGCTGGCACGGGGACGTGCCACGTCATGACGTCTAATTTTGGTTCCATCGCTGCTGAAAATAAGTGCCGCCACTTGAACACGGGCGCGAGTCTAAGTTTAGACAGCACAATGTGACGCCGTGCGGCGACCACCACACTGGGATTCCCACAGCATTAGCGACACCACCCCCGAGATGGAGCGCTCGCCACCCGCCGCACCGCACGGGGCCGCAGTGGGCAAGGTACCGCTGTCCGGGACTCCCAGCGCACACGCCGACACTGCGACGACGCGTTTCATCGGCAAGTGCCAGTACAAGACGGGCAAGTGCTTCAAAGAGCGCACGCTCAAGCGGAACGGCCAGGCACATTCGCTGTGCGAAGAGCATCGTGTCAAGCAGAACCTAATCCAGCGACGAAGCGACCGCAAGTACCAGTCGCTCCACGCCGTCCGACGAAAAGAACGGTCGCAGATGAAGGCCATGTTGAAGAAGCAGGTCACGATGGCCGTCGCGCAACAAATGTACTTGGAGCACCATCAGCACAAGATCCTGAACCCGCTCGTCTTTCACAACCCCACGTTGGCGACCGCCGCCATCCCAGCTGCACATCCTCCACCCCCGACGACGACTTCCCATACCGCTCTCCCAGTGGGCTATCATGGAATGCTGCCACCTGCGCCCCCGTCGCTGCTTCTATGCGGGCTCCCAAAGTCGGCCTACGACAGTCCCGCTGTTCATAAAAACACCAAGCAAGCTATTCCCCATCGCGGCATCTCCCCTCTCGGCACGGCCACCACCACTGTCACCCATCATCACGACAAGTCGAGTAAAGATGGCACAGCGGTCACGGAGGAAAGGTCGTGGAAGCACGCACTAGTCGACGATCCCACCGAGCCACACCAACACGAGAACATGAATGTCCCCGTACCAACGGTCGACGCATGGACAGATGACGATGTCCAGCTATTGCAATCCATCCTGCTCGTGTAACGAGATGCAACGAAAGCGGTGTGCGAGGCTACCAACGCACGAAATATCATATCATTGAAACCCTTGACCTGACGACATCTCAAATGGCAATCGAGGCCGCATTCGCACTGAATTCGACACGTTTCTGTAGGGTGTCGTCGTTGAGACTTGGAGAGGGCACAGGGCACATCATGGCCATCGAGGAATTGGGTCGACAGGAATGGCGGGATGCGACGACGGATGATGCATCGTGCCTCGAGGGACGAGCACAACGTGGATGGAATTTTCACAGCATACCGCATGGTCCAGCGACACGCCAAACCAGAGATTTCCAATGGTACGTGTCATCGTCATACCAAGAAAATGGAGAGAGCAGACGAAACCACACGCCATGGCGGCGTCAGCCCCGCGCTGGCAAGCGCTGATGCACTTGCATGCCCCGTACGATTCTTGAGATTCGGGGGTGAACATCCTCCGGATAGTGTCCGCACGCATGTCCGGATGTAATATCCGGACATCAGAGCGCATCGCCCGACGTGGCCTGGATCCCAAATATTTACACGAATCAAATCGAGGCATCTGGCAACGCGGCAATTTGATTCGTTGAGACATCTACACGACAATTTGATTCGCCGAGAAACCAGCACGTTCAACTTGAACCGCAACCGAGTGACAACGTGATGATAACCTTCGGTGGAATTTTGGCAATTTTGGACTTGTGTGAAGCAAATCGGCCTAAAATAAGGGAAGTGCTGCCTGTTTTGGCGACGTTTACCGACTCTGCCGAAATTCATGCGGCGGGTAATGGTTGAAGCGACACCAAATTTTGCAAAAACCCGCGGGCAACATGATTACACTTTGTTGCTGTTGGTTGAAGTCTGCGCCGCATTTCTCTGTTCTGACTCGCCTTTGGACCCTTTCAAGCGTCGCGTCGGGGCGGTGTCGATATATCTACTGATGCGAGTAGCCACCAAACGGTCCTGGGGGATCTTTCAAACAACCGCCGCACGATGCAGAAACAACCCGCCGACGACAACATCCGAGCTGTGGATTGAATTTCACGTCCCCTGGTGAAGGTTGGCGAACGAGCACGATCCGGAAACGAATATCTCAGAGGTAACCAGACGAATCTATCGAATGAATTTGTTTTCTCTAAGTATGTAAATCAAGAGGGAACAAGTAGGATAAATAAATAGCATTATACTATTTTGGAACATTGGATTAAAAAGGGTATTGAATATAAGAGAAAGAGCGAGTGTCGGTGACGTCGTGTGAGGCCAATGTGTGGCCCATGAAGAAGATTCTTGTGATCGATATTTAGCCAATGAAATGGCGATATTTCCTATAATCGAATGCTGATTGGTGTATTTTTGGATTCGCCGGTGAATCCAAGAAAAAAATGAGGGTGTGAAAAAAACACGAGTGTTTCACCTCGTGTTGCAACGAATCCCCATTTTAAAATTCCTCTCTTCAGTACACCGCCGCGTCCGTTGCCACGGCAGCTTCCGCGTCCTCCCCGTCCTTCCTGCTCGCCATGTCTCCTCGAAATGATCCGGACAGTCGATCCATTGACGTCAACGCCGATCTCGACATGATAATGCAGAAGAACGTGCGCAAGCTGCGAATGAAGCAAGTCGCCAAGAAGAAGCATCATGTGCACTCGACCGCGCCGTTGCAACCTTTGGGGAACTTGCCAACGCTATCCCCTACCAAAGACAAACGCCACCAAAAGCTTCATCACACGTTCACGAAGAAGCAGCTTTTCGATGAAAAGGACAATGACGTAGGAACGCACACGAATCATCATCACGAAAGTGCGACGCCTGTCGAAGAAAAGCGCCGTAGCATTACAATCTTTGACTGCGCCAAGATTGTCAACAACAAAGGACGCGTCATGACCCATGAAGAGTTCGAATTGGTCACATCGGCGTCACCCAGTAGCATCAGTAGCAGTGCCGGAACAGTCTGTTCATCTGCAAGTCCGTCCCCAAGTTCATTGGGGAAGAAGACGTCCTCCAAGTTATCCAAGAAAGCAATCAAACAACCTAAGACGACGACGTCTGAGATGCTCCGTCAGATGGCGTGGGAACAAATGGTGCTTGAAATCATGTGCACGTTGCTGCCCGAGATCGACGTGCTCTCCGAACTCAACCGAACATTGGTACAAGGCGGCCGGGCTGCGGCTGCTGCTTCCATGGATTTGATGGCCTATCAGCAACAGCTCCATTACCATCTAAACGCACTGCACGTTGAAGATGCCGAATTGCCGCCGCCGTTCACATCAGGTGCCAAGTTGGTCGAGTTGTATGTGACGAAGTCTCTGGTGCAATCCATCGTGTTCGGCCTCATGACGGTGGCCGACAAGCGTGCTCAGGGCGCGCTGTCTGCGATCGCCAGATCCATCTTTGAGCAAGTACCGTCGCTTCGCCACGACATGCTCCTTGCTATCGAGTGCACCGCCGTCGAATTCTACAACCTCCCTAACACTGTCAACTCCAAGACGTTCAACGTTGAAAGTATGGTGACCCTCACTGGCTCCATCATTCGTCTTCAGCACGAACGGTCCATGCAAACCCAACAAAGCATGTTTGACGACATGGATGATGAAGACGACGTCGAAATTTCGGTCATGTACCTTGCCCCGACCGAGGACGACCAGGCCATCTACGAACAAGCCAAGCGCATTTTGGCTCTGTTTTGCCGTTCGTGGAGCTGCTCCGGGGCTGTCAATTCCACTACAGTCGCGGACGCTGTGTTCTCAGCCAGTGCCAACTTGGCGTCGAACCCGACTGTGAAAGCGCTGATTGCCAGTGTGCAGCTTCTTGCACACGTATCGCCTCTGCAGGGACTATCGTTTCTGTCAGAGTCTTTGCTGCGCCGTTGGCCAATCCGCAATACGTCGCGACAACTGCTCTTCCTCCAACTCATCCCCATGCTCCTGGTGCAACTTGCCACGGCCCAAGTGTACATGGAATCCTTCACAAAGGTCGTTTACGACTCGTTTGAACGAATCCAGCAATGCATTGTGGCCCCTCATATTCTTGTCGCCCGCGAAGCATGTGCACTGTGCGACGACTTGCACCTCATTCGACTCTTCCTCCTTCGAGACAAGGCCCTCTTGGACAAAATGACGACTGCTCTCCACGTGAATGCCCACCACCACTGGAACAAGCAAATTCAAGCCCTGTCGGATGATCACTTCGACTCGATGCTGGACTTGGCCTAGACGATATCTGCGCACTCCCTATTTAACACATCAAGTTTTCACTGTGATGTCAACCAGCGTCCTCCCCGTAATAATTCAACCCTATTTAACAACGACAGTACCTGGGCTATTCCGTCTTTGTGGTTGTGGCTGTCGCGGATGGCAATGTCGAAGCCACATCCCCCTTGAAATCTGGATGATGGCCTCCATGTCTGGGTCGCGGAGCGATCAGATGGAAAACTCTGGATGGAGCGGCGCCGACAACTCAGACGACAACAAGGAATTCGATGCTCAGATGTGTGTCGGACGGACGCCCTGCGGTCGAAAATTCTACTAGTGAAGGATGGCAAGCAAGGCGAGCTAGGGGATGTGCGTGTGTGGGTGCGCGTTACGCTGCGGTCGCGACGACATGGGATGTTCACGCCCTAGACACTCGCAAGCTCGCCATGAAGTTCGAGATGGAGAAATGCCAATCGCCCACCTTGTTGATTCTGCATTGTTGCATACTAGTACTACTACTATTCGATGAACTGTTTATCCGTACAAGAATTGGCATGATGGTAGGAGGTACTAGTAGTACCGTTTCGTTAAAACCCGACAAAAATTGTCGGGTTTTACAAATCGGTGCGGAAGGAGCAATGATCTCACTGACTCTGCATGACATGAACGTAGAACGCCTGTTGGAACTTGATATAGGATTTACTTGGTGAATACTAAACACTATGCGCTACGACATCGCTTGGGTAATCCATTAACCATTAACTTGAACGAAGCAATTTTCAGTACTGTGGCGACGACGAGTTTGTTGATTTGTTATTTTTTCGGAAGTCTTTATCTACTCTAATGTAGAGTCCACGCTATTTATTGGCCAAAAACTTGGCTTTCTATGCGTGTGATTGGCCATAAACGCAAAAAGATCCACCCCCTCGTTCCACGACAATGGCGGATGCCCGCGCCGCCGCTCGCAAAGCGCGGATATTGGCGTCGCAAGAGAAGCGTCTCAAGTATGTGTCTGGTCAAGCCGAATCGCTAAAGAAGACTACTGAGGAAGAGCTCGAGGACAAGACTCTTGATGGCATGCTTGAGGAACTGCATCCTGCATCGAGTGCAAACACGAACGAAGTGAAGGAACTTGTCATGCCCGCGATTCGGGCAGATCCCGCGCAACGTCGGCGGGACGCTGCGCTGAGAAAGAAACAGCACCAAGAAAAAGTTCAGGAACGTTTGAATGGAACTCCCGAGACCACACCTGCCACCAGTTCTTCTGCGAACCCCACGACGGCGTCCTCAGAGAACGCACGTGCACAAGCTATCCAAGAATCCGTGGCACCAACCGCAGCTCCCCAACGTAATGCTGCTGTCTCATCTGCAGAACTGCTCAAGCTCACGAAGGCGAAGCAAGATTTACTGTTCTTTCGGATCGAACAATGGACCGTGCTCTTCGTTCTTGTCATGGCGGCGCTGTTCGTGGGGTTCAATGTTGACATTCAATGCTTTGCCGTGGACCCTCGTCTCCAAGAGGTGGATGACCTGTTGGCGCAAGGGTTTTCCTTGACATCGATCAAGCAGCAACTCGAGCGGGACAATGTAATGTGCAGATCCTTCTGTTGGCATTCTAACTTTGTGCTCTAGGCTGACTTGACTTTTCTCGAGAAGCGGTCGCTCGCTGATGCGTCGACGCGGTTGCCCGAGAACACGATTCCGTTCCTCCCGTCCTTCGTGTACAACATGTTTGCCCCGGCAGTAGTGAACCCTCCGTTCCTTCTCGTCCCCATCCTGGCGCGTTTGGTATTCAATGCCCTCTTCTTCGGTGCTCGCAGTGTCCTGGACGTCCCTTCAACCGGCGATCACGAGAGCGATGACTCTGGTTGGATCATCAAGATGGCTTTGTCCATGGTGCCCATGCTCCGCGACGGATACCGCATGATGAAGAAGACTGGAGACGACTTTTGCCTCTTCTTGATGGTTCTCGGCGTCACGGTCTCCGTCCGCGTGGTGTGCGGAGGGGTTCTCGTGTAATTCTGCTCGAAATATTGTTCCATATAATTTGATAGAGAGGAAACTATTTCGACCATAAATTACTTTTCTATCCCAGCCGACAGCGCATGCGGGGGGCGGCTGGAACAAGTGAACGAAGAAGCTGCAGCAGGCACAGGAACATGACCATCGCAACTGCGCACATGAACAAGGCAGTGTCAATCGTGACTTCGAGCGCCACGAACATGCCGACAAGGATGCAACTTGCGGCGACAAAGACCAGGGTAGTTGAAACAGCCTTGGCAGCTGCGTTGTCGCGTTTGGCAGGTAATGCAAGGGGTGGCACAGACGTGGACGAGGTTGGAGTGGTGGTGGCCGCAGAATCGGGCAGGGGAAGCGTCTCTGTGCTTGCTCGTCGCCGCCGCACGGGCTTGGGTGGAACGATGTCCGCTTTGTCTTGCAGGCGTCGGTTAAACAACTGTAAATTGTACATAAAGCACTTGTTGCACGTTCGAATGGACTTGATCTGGGCCTTCACCTTGATGCGATGCATGGAGCACTGTCCGCACACAACGTCACCACACACGCGGCAGTGGTGCTTGCCATAGAAGAGCAGTTTCTTGTTGCAGCATGCACAGCCGGCGTCTTTGGCTTTTGGGGCGTAGTGGCTCTTGTCACACAGCTGGACATCGTCCATCCCGAGCGCTTGCAGGGACACGCGGTCAAACTTGACGTTCTTCATGAGGAGGTCGTCGGCGGGTGACATGAGCCGCATGCTGACCTCCTCTTCGTGCTCCCTGTGCGACTGGAACAGCGTCGAGAGTGTCGTCGCCGCCGTCATGTGGTGGATCTCGGTTGCGTTGCAAAGTGGCTTGCTGTTGTACCGATCGCACGATCACTTGGTTTTTGTATACATGTGGAATATCCAAAGACGTCAATTTATGGCAGATCGCAACATATTTGACTTGGAATTTGTATGCAGAGCGAGTACTGGATGATAAAAAAATGTATCCGCTGCAAAAACAATTTGAGACAACTTCAAATCTTGCGTGCGCGCGAACTGTCTCTGGGCAGGCGCGGCCGACGTGTCGACCCCTTGGGGCTGCATAAGCGCCCAACGACGGACCTCGATGGATCGTGTTTGGGTGAAACGTCATGATGCATGTCCTTGTGTACCGAGACGTCATGAGAGCGTTTGGTCCACGCACAAGGATTGCAGCATGGATAGGATCATCCGGGTGTGTATCTCGGACCAAACAATCACATGGACCTGCTGCGCGAGGTAGATGCGTGCGACGACAAGACAAAATCGAAGTTTTGCGGGAAGCGACAACCTTGATGTGCAGCTGTGTCGACATGAAAAGCAACCCAACGCGGTCAAGGATGCATGCGGCAGATTTTGGGGTCGGAATCGTGTTGGCGTCATCTTCATCGTGACGACCAAGGGTGCTTGCGCCAGTCCATTCTACTTCTGGTCGGATACCTTCACTGCTCGAAGCGGTGCACAGTGTGGACTTCATTGGAACAATGTCTACTCGAGACACGACCATGCACGACACTTTGCATGAGGTGTGTGTGCAAGGGCAAAGAGAGGTTACCTACGCCGCGGTGGAGGACAAGCAGACGTTTTCAGCCACGTCGTCGAGCATGGTGGGCATTGGAACAAGTGGGGGCGTTATGACGACGCTGGCGGTCTGGAAGAATTCGAGCTTCTTCATTTCGTCCGTGACGGATATCGTCTGGACGACGTGCTTCAGCTGGCAAAACAAAGTTTGCATCGCCGCCGAGTGCATGCGTCGACTGCTGATCCAAATCACGCCTGCGTCCGTGAGTCGCACGAAGCAGCTCATGGACCTGTGGATGAATTGCCGATACGTTCGCTGCGGCGCCCGCGTCTTGCCCGACACAGATCGTAGTCCGGCACTCGTCGCCTTTGTCGGGCCATGGTACTGATACGTCATGGACTCGTACGGGATGCGATGGATTCCTTCCAAGCAAAACTGAAGCTCCGACGTCAACTTGTGCTCGACAACGGCAAAGTCCGCGGCCGACTTGAGAGGAAAGAACACGGGGCAGATCAACGGATGCACGTCCATCGTGCTGACACCGCAATTCTCCGGCATCTAACGGAGCGACCCACGAGTGAGAAGACCATCATATCACGTATCGTCAGCGCGAACGACAACCGGAATGACGTCGAGATTAAATTGCTTGGCGCGGCGCTGCAGGCCCAAGATGAAGTCGTCGACCAACGCGCTTCTGCACACGAGCCACTGCACTTCGATGTGGTACACCTGCACGGGCAAGCACTCGACGTCGTAGTGAATGTTGAGCCATTGCTGCCTACACGAGAGTCAGCTACGCGACGCCCAACGCGCGCGCGTACTGGAGGGGCGCATCAGGCGCGGAGAGCGGAATCTTGATGTCGCTTTGTACGACTCGGCGGGGAATCCTTTCCCCCGACAAGATGTTCACGTCCATCACGTTTGTCAGCAGCGGCGACGTCGCGGCGATCGATCCGTCGTCCTTTCGGGCCTTCATGCGAATGTAGTCGAGGAATCGCGTGAAGCGGTCCGTGAATTCGTCCAGGGTTTTCTGGCGGTCGGCGTCGTCGTGCGTCGACAGCACCGGCGGCAGCACGCAGTACAACCCGCGCTTGTACTTGATGTTGTTGGTCATGACAAAATCGTGCGCGCTCATGGACGAATCCAACGTATTCCACCCGTACTCGTCCGTGTTGGGGTATCGAAACTCTTGCTTGGCCGGGAGAAAGTGGCTTGTCAGGGGCGACCATAACGAGTAGTTGTACTCGACGCGAGGGGTCGTCGCCGGTGGCACCGGAACAAGCGACGGCATCGCCGCCTTGGCCTTTTCCCCTGCGCCATCTTCAAGACGCCCATCACGTTCCATGCCTCGTACCTGGCGTCGTCTGCTTCAAGATCTTCACGTCAATGTCTTCGCCAGTGTCCGAGTACGAGATTTCGTGCACTTGATGGCCCATGCTGAGCTTGTACATGGTCGTGCCTGCCACGTGGCGCTCGCCGATCAGTTGAAAGTCCTAGGGACGACGACGTAGTGGGCGATTCGATCCACCCCCGCACGACGTACCTGGGAGAAGCGCTGCGCGACCAACTCGAGCGCGTACTCGCGATGGTTTAAAAAGAAGCCGCCGCCGTCGTGCTGGTCGCACCCGACTTTGTACACCTTTTCCTCGTACTTGACGTTGAAGTCTTGCATGTAATCCGTCGTCAGCGGCAGCAGGGCCGGCGTGCACAAACTCTTAAAGTCGAGCTCGTAGCTGAGCATTTCGTACCGATACACGTGGCTCCATCGATACTTGTTGGCCGTGGACACGGGGGCATACGCGACGGCCGCCGTCGACCGCAGTTGCGACGCAGGGGCCGGCGGATTGTGGAGCGCCCCGGACGACGACGACCGATGATGGGTGTGCTGGTGGGGCAAAGCGGCGGGATTGAGTTGCTGCATGGACGTGTGCATGGTCTGGAGCACTCCAGGATGCCGTGGGGATGGATGGTGGTCGTGGGGACTCGTGCTACTCGAGCTGCTTGTGGGGAATGACCGGGCTTGACCGCCACCAGCCAGGGAAAACGGCTGCTGGCGGGGTGACTTGGACACCATCGTGTTGAATGCCGCGGGCTTCATGTCGGGCGACATGCCAAAGTTCTTGGTCGATGCCTTGCGTTGTTTCACAAGTGCCTGGAGACTGTGCAGCGGCGGCGTGCCGCAGTGCAATGGCGGTGATTTGTCTTGCGGCGTTGACCGCACAACAAACACGTCGTCGTCGCAGTCGTTGGCGACGTAGTACGGCTTGAGTTGTTGCAGCTGCAACTGGCCAGCCGCCACGTCGGGCGTGGATGGGAACGGCAGCGCGAACGGCGTGGTCGGAGTTGTTGGTACCGTCAACGTTTGGTGGGGCGTCCACTGCAATTGCGTGAGCAAGAACGCGAGCGGCCGCGACGGCATGCCAACTGGCGCGGCAAAGAGCCGACACATGGGCAGCGGCGAAAACGTGTCCGGCGTGTGTTGGCTGAATCTCACGGAAAACCACATGGGGGTGAAGCTGCTAGAGCACTCCGACAGCGAAAACGGCGACATGGGTAGCTTGAGCGGCTGCTTGGGTCGTCCCGAGGGGTGTGTGAGTGGGGTCGGGCCTTTCAAGTAGAACCGCGGCACCGATTCCAGCGGCGGCGACGACAGCGAGATGCAGTCGAACCCGATACCGTTGTCCATCATGCGTTGTTCCTGGCCACACACATGAACGAACAAACCACGACGGCACACGCACCGTCATGTCGCTGACGAGCTGGTTCACTCGAAACACACCGTTGCCAGCCGTGAACAAGACAAGGTTCTGTCCGCTGCGGTTCAAATCGCGGTCGAGGTAGTGCTTTTCGTAAATGTTGAGGATCAAGTTGATCGCTTCCAGGACATTCCCGTCCTTGGCCGAGCTCGGATGGCCGTGACCGCCTTTGCATGTGAGCGCGATGCCTTTGATCGGGTCGAGGCCCCATCCACACAAGTGCGGGAACGCATTCACTTCGGCCTTGAGCGTCGTCAGCATGGCGGCTGTGTCGAGCGCGCCGTCTCTGCCGTACGAAATGACTTTGTAAAAGTCTTCAAACCAGTGGCCGTCGTCGTCCTGGCTGATCGCGTTCGAGTGGTGCTCCGAGTGCAGAGGCGGCAACTCGTCGTAGTAGTTGCGGCCAAACAAGATCACCGTCAAGCTGTGCGAGACGTAGTCCGCCTGCCACCGGTCGAACAAGCTCGACACCATGCGGATCAGCTCGTCGGCGTACAGGTTGCCATTGTTGCCCTACGTCGTTCACGGTCACGGCACGAACGCGGTAGAGTACGCAGATCGATCGACGCACCATGTCCCACATCTCTGGACTGATTTGAACGAGCCAGAAGATCCGCGACGACTTGGACCGGAACACGAAACGAGTCTTGGCGGTGACGACGCCGGTAACGACCGAGTCGTTCTCGTGGACGAGCTCCATGACTTGCACGCGTGCGCCGTGCATGCGGACCTACACCCGCCGCAATTCAACGACGGCAGTGGCGGAGAAACAACAGTACTACCATCTTGCCCACGTACAGCGCCTTCCCAACCAAGCTGCGCTGAAGGTAAAACAGGTCGCGCCGCGACAGGAACTGGTCTTTGAGGGACACTTCGACGAATTCCACTTCGACCACGTGCTTTTCCACAAAGCGCACGACGACGTCTTGCAGCAACTGGAGATTGAACTGCGCGGCGGTGTCTTTGAGAAGACTCAGTTGCATCTTCCCCTTGACCGGTTTCTTCGCCCGGAGCTCGTCCGGCGACGGAACGTCCATCAGCAAGTGCTGCCGAGAGTCTTCCGTGCAGTTGGGCGTGAAGATCTCCATCACGTACGCGTCATCTTCGGGGAACGTCAAATCCTGCTTGAGCGCGTCCAAGTTGAGGACGAGTTCCTCTCCGCCGTGGAACTCGAGACCATGCACGTGCAACTTGACGATCGCTCGATCCTTCGTCTTCCTCTTGACAGAATCGATGGTTTTGTTTGCTGCCGTTGTGGCAGAAGGCACGGCCGCGGCATCCTTTGCTGCCGGACGGGTCCAACGGCGCCGATTCATCGCTTTGCTTGACGATTTTGGTCTCTGCCATCCTTCACTTCAACATGATTGGCTGAAATATTGTTTATTTTTATCCAATCTTTAGCCATTCACGAACTGCGCTCGAGATGCTGTCGCCCCGACGCAGGAAGAGCGGCAGGAAAAATGCTGATGATGGCTCTCATCAGCATCCTCTTCGCGCGGGTTCCTTCCATGGGGCCAGCAGCCACAAAACGTGGGGGTGGTCGTTCGCACACGTGCAGGACAAAGCCGACGGAGGCGAATTGGCGCCACTCGTGATAGGCGCACAATCCGAGCGACAGCCCACTCGCCTTGACGTGGATACCGACGATGTACCGGGGCGATGTCGAGGCATGTACGGCACAGGTGCTCGCACGTCATCGATTGCCTTCGCGTGTGGACAGATCAAAGCAAGAATGGCCGCAAATCCAAGCATCAGACTGCGTCGGATTCGACATACGTATGTGGAACGCTCTTTGCATTGAGATGGTGGATTCTCAGAGCCTCCTGTGTTGATGGACGTGATGCAGCTTGGGTGGACTTGCGCGCATCCGAACATGACGTCCCATGTTTGTTGGCCAGTAACTACTGCACAGATCCCTTCCCTATCCTTACCACGGGCATCATGTCACACCAGTCGACGTCCATGGCGACGAAGCAGCTCCGCAGATCGATCGCGCCTCGCGCGAGATTCCGACAACCAGAAGAAGTCCACGTCGTGTTGGGGCGATGCGTTTTATCCGGATAATGAGGAGTATCCACCCTAGTTTTCACGGAAGTTCATGGCAATCGGCGTGGGCTCGGCGGCGCGAGCCGTGGTGGTCGCGGCAGTGGCGTTCTACGCCGCACGATTGTCGAACATGCACGCTGACAACGACTTTGACGGTGCGGATGGCCCGACTGATGCTCTGGAAGGGGCGTGTTCGATTCGCATCGAGGTCGACTTGTCGTGCGAAGCGTTTGTTAGCACATACCTTGGCGTCGAGCCTGTGATCATTCGGCCGTCGTCGGCAGCCTCTGGCCTCTGGAACGCTGCGTTCACGGAAGCATCGTCCCGCCACACGATGGAAACAGCGCACGGCGACTTGACTGTGAAGATGTCGACCGCAAACTCGTACACTGGCCGCGATTGGACCGAAATGCGCGTGGCAACGTATATGACGACGCAGTTGCATGACGCTGATATGGCCAAGATGGGCAACGAGACATTCTACCTATTTGGAAGCACGCGAGGACCAGGTTGGAACGCATTCCTCTCGATGTACAGCCCCCCGACGCATGTGTACCCAAGCGAATCGTTCGCCCACGCGTCGTGTGACGCGCGCGCTCTGCAGCGACATACAAAGACATCGACTAGCCTCAGCTTTGGCATGGCTGGCCGTGGTTCAGGCGTGCCGTTTCACTTCCACGGCCCAGGATTCCTTCAACAGATACACGGCCGGAAGCGATGGTTCCTCTATCCACCGCGCACGACGCCCGACTTTCACCCCGACGAAAGCACGCTGCACTGGGTGCACACTGTGTACCCGACGATGCGATCCCCGCCGACCCACGAGTGCGTCCTCGAGCCCCGCGATGTAATCTACTTTCCCCACGAATGGATGCACGCCACACTCAACCTCAGTCCGTACACGGTCTTCGTCGCAACGTTTGCTTAATCCAAAATTGCTCGTATGTGCCGACAGCGAACACCTGCCCACCTGGTTGCAGTCGCAAGTGTTCGCGTCCACGTTACTCTCGCGACACAAAGCTCTGCCTGTCGTGGGGTGCTCTGCTTGGAGGACGTTTTTGTCCTCATGGCGCCGGTGGCATGGCCATGGGCATGTTCAAGAGGGTGTCCAGACATGATTTCACAGAGTTGACAGGGCTGCAGTGCCAGTTGGCTCGTCCGACCAGCCAGCGACGATGGAATTCGCGCGGGTGACGTGGGAACGAGCAGCTTGCATGGATCACTGCGCGCGTGCCGCCATCGTCATATTTTGGCCGTCCTCGATCGAGGAGGGGGGTCGCTACGTCGTCCTGTGGTGGGTGTGGCTGCACCACTTGCTTTCCAAATGTTCGCGATCGCAACCTTCGATCGCCATGTCGGTTGGGCGGTGAAACGGCACGCGATTCGCGAGCGGCTCGACGAGCACAATTGCGATGGTCACGATCACGAGGGATCGCGTTCCCGTGAGTTTGTACACGAGCAAAGGCATCCGCGTGGCGTACTTGTGCCATGACACGGAATGGGTTCCCGACTCGCAGCGGACAGCGTGCGCCGCGTGCACGGCCAAGTTTCACGTGTTCAACCGAAAACACCACTGCCGCGTCTGCGGCGAGGTCATTTGTGGCACGTGCTCCCGCATCATGGCTTTCCACTCGAGTCATCGCCTCCGAGTGTGCGTGACTTGCACACGGTCCAGCGTCGTCCAGTTCACGCCTCACGCAGCAGCGCCATCCGCCGACATGGGTATCAGCCTGCAGACGACGCCCCACCCGCTGTACAACAAGGACGCCGCCCTCGTGTCGGCCGGCGGCTGGTCGCGAAGCACGGCCGTGATATACGCCACGTGCTTGCTCGTTCTTGTCCATGTCATTTGCGGCCACGACTGGACGACCACGATCGCGACGGTGCTCCAGTAGCGTCGTCCTCTCAACATCCTAAACAACACATTCCAGTTCACTCCCCCCCCCCCTCCGCGCGTGCATCACTCGAGAGCACTCTGCATAGCTTCTCACTACGCCGCGTCGAGATGAACCGTGTCGCTGCAGTCGCGGGACCGACGTGTGCTAGTCGGTCGAGCGGCGTGCGGATGTCCCTCTGGGCACTCTGTCGTCGATGCTAGCTGCCAACGTAACCTTTGTCGAGCCATCGGACACGACAAGCTGCAGGATAAACCGTGGCGTGCCATAACGTTCACAACGCTTGTGGGCTCAAGCGGGGCATGTTTTCCGATGGGAATGTCTCGTGGCTCGACGAGTCCTCGAGCCACCACCGACCGCCCTTGCTAGGGGACGCCTTTGACGGTCTGACGCAAGAGGTAGTTTGCCGGGACACAGCATGACGTGCCCGACGGCACATGGCACACAAATCCCAAGGGAAAGCGTCGACATCGTGTACGAGTTGCCGCGAGGGATGGCGTTGACGGAGCGTTCAGTGGAGACCGCCGCTGCAGTGCGCGGCGCGTGCAACGTAGGGCCAGCCCCGCAGACTGGTTTTGAAGATATATATTGGGTCGGTCAAGGGGTCGGGACGACTGCACTCATTTGAACACGCGAGTGTACGTGATGACGAGTAGCGACACGGCCGAGAGCCCCATGAGGAGTGCGAGCCAGCCGACACCGCCGAACGAGCTCGCAAACGGGTTCTTGGGGGCGCCCTGTAGTTTGAGCGACTTGCCGACTTCGTCGAGGCGTTGGCGCAGGCAGTACACAAACGAGGCTGGAATCACCCACTACGGCACAACACTGGTCAAAACGCCGACGCGTTGGAACCAAAAGGTCCACCTGAATCGCAAGACCGGCGTACGCCCCCGTAATGCCCACCAGCATGCCCACGTCTTCCGTGAAAAACGCAATGACGAGCGGGGGAACGATCGCAAGCAGCGCAAACAGCGTCATGTCGCTCACGTGCTGCGACGAGTTGGCATGGAAGAGCGTGCGGAGGTTCTCGCGCAGCGTGATCGCAATAATGGGAAACGTCGTGCTGCATAGGCAATCGTGACGACAGCCGTCCCTCGACGCCACACCCAAAAGGAAGCGTACCTCAGGGTGAAGACCGGGAAGAGGCTCAAAAAGTACGCTATGAACGCGTTCGGGTACGTGGTGAAGTTGAGTGTGTACACGTCTTGAATGTGTTCGGGGAGGTACCGAAAGGTAGCCGAGAATGACAGCACGATATACAACACAAACACGGCCTACAGACACACGCGCGGGGTTTGAAAATCGACGAAACGAGCCCATGCAACTCTTGCACTCTCGATGGCGTCAGCATGAACGATCGAGAAAGCCAGCAGAGAAAGAATCGAAGGGCGTCACGTTTGGAAGCGTACGATAAAAGCACCAAGGAAGATGGACCGGACGGCGCGCTTCTTGCTGATCGGAGCGATGATCCCGGGCAAACTAGAATGTGAACCGACGTTGAGATCAAAAGTATCGACGTGGAGAGGGATGCGGGACCTGTGGTGGCACATGAACGAGTAGATGCAGATGCCAAAGACGTTGGGCAGGTACCCCAAGTTGCTATGGGACAAGACGTCGGCAATGGGGCGGCCGTGCCCCTGGGCAATTCCAACGCACGCCAGGACAATCATAAGCATGAAGGAGAGGTGTCGCATGATGGTAGTCACAATTTGGATCAGCGCCGTCTTTTGCATGTGCCCCATCGCAAACGGCGCCAACGAGATGCCAAACAGCGCCACGAGTGCACGATACAACACAGTGCTGCTCATGTGGAGCTCTGGGCAGTTCCACACTGTGACGTTTGGCGTCGGCCGCGGGCAAATGACTTCACGGAGGGACTTGGGGATGGCTATTGCAGCAATATGCTGAAATCGATCGGGACGCGAACAGGACGACATACCCACGGCGTATATAGCGAGATCACCGTACAAATACGCAATCATACACACGTAGAACGCCGCAACACCGCGGGGAGAGAATAACTCCTGTGCAATCGCCGCCAGCTCCAACTGCACATGGCATGAGATTGCGATCTCAAGGATGACAAAGGCACGTCTGTACCTTCTTGGAAATGTCAAAATGCAAGCCTGACACATACTCTTCGTCCGCCTGGTTGAAGTCCTTCAGATTTACAATAAATGGAAGGGCGATAACAGGAGATGAAGGTTGACGCACGTTGGTGTGGACAAGAAACGGTACCGCCTCGCTTGTCGTGTCGTCGATGCTGCTCGTATTCGCTGTCGTCGTCTCCGAAGTTCGTGCCTGGGAAGCACTAACACCTTTGACCTGTTGTTGCAGTCCTTGTAGCGCATTGACTCCAGCAATCGCTTCGATCACGTACGTCCCCGAGACATAGCTGACAACGCTCAAAAGGAAGAGGGCAAAGGCGCCGTAGAGAAGTCCCACTTGTGCGAACGCATGAGGGATCGTGAGGGCTCCTGTACCAACGACGAGGTTGAATAGGAAGATGAAGCCTGTTGTCGGCGAATACGACCCAATGTGCGCGGCGCTGTCTCCAGCCATGGCGAGCTTCGCCAAGCTCTCTTCCAATTGCAAAATGACTCGAGATACGATCTATTGAAACAGTCTGATTGGCTGTAAATTTACTGTTATATCCAATCAAATTGCGGGATCGACATGTGCACACTAAATCGTGCAATATTTCCAGGTCAAAATGTGGTGTATGGTGGTATTAACTTCAATAAAGTCAAAATCCGTAAATAGTGTGACAGTTTACAACAGTACGGCAGGCGAGTTCTATCAATAACCCGGACTGAAGTTGTTGAGTTGGATGCAACTACTCTGTACGTCAACAATGGACTTGGCATCCTAACGAAGCTAGCGCCAGTCTACGGGTCTTTTAGTGCAGGGCCTTCGAAGCATGATGTGGATGGGGGCCAAGACTGTTTCGAATCTTCCTACATGTAGAATTTGGTCGAATGGCAAAGTGTCACCCATCGGTCTCTGGCGTCCGATTGTACTTTTTGAGGGAATTTCGTCCACTAATTATCCGGATAGCCTTTTACAACATGGGAGTTTCGAGAATGGGCATCGAGTTGTCGCGCGACCATGCGCGCAGATGAGCTCGCCGAACCACATGTACCGCGGCAAGAGTGGCCATGCCCAGCCCAATGCACGTAATAAGGACCATCGTGGAGACTCCACTGGATAAAGATTCAGAAGAGTGGCTGCGAACGGCGTCCTCCTGGTACTGGACGAAAGCAAGAGTTGTTGAAGGTATCTGGGTAGGCACTGGTGGTGATGAGTTGGGCTGGGATGTGATCGAGTCCAGCGCAGGAGGAGTTGAATTCGAACGGGGTAGTGGGGCCGCTAGAGGCAACGCAGTTGACGGTGCGCCAGTTGGTGTTGTCGTGGAAGTGGATGAGTACGTCGTACAGGGTGGTGGAGAAGTTTGTACAACACTTTTTTGTTGAGCAGGGGTCGGCGCGAGCTCCGTAGAGAATAGTTGTGGAGTTTCAATCGTCGTAGGTACAACGGTAGATGCACGAATCGGTGCACGAGTAGGTGCAGGAGTTGAAATGAATGGACTCGACGAAGTTGGTTCTGGAGTTGGTGCAGAAGGTGGAGAGGATGTGGGGGGTCGAGTTGGAGACGGCGTCAACGCGGCTTGGGTAGTTTGGTGTGTAGCTGGTGGTGGCTGGGTCGGTGGTTGCGTCGGTGGCTGGGTCGGTGGTTGCGTCGGTGGCTGGGTCGGGGGTTGCGTCGGTGGCTGGGTCGGTGGTTGCGTCGGTGGTTGCGTCGGTGGCTGCGTCGGTGGCTGGGTCGGTGGTTGCGTCGGTGGCTGGGTCGGTGGCTGGGTAGGTGGTTGCGTCGGTGGCTGGGTCGGTGGTTGCGTGACTGGAGGCGATGGCGGAGCGCCACCACCACCGAACTGCTGCGGAATCTGCGTGCACTGATCGGCCACCAACGCCACCGTCGCTCGTATCGTTTCCCCACTGTGCGACGTCATCTCGACCTGTGTCCGACTCAAGTCCACCGTCCCCAGCACCGTCGACATGAAGTAGTACGCCGACGCAAAGATCGGCGCGTCCCCGCCGTTGATCCGCATGCTCTTGACGCCGTTCACGGCGTTGTCTGGCTGGACGTACAACCAGTGGATGCTGCTGCCGGACTTGGCGCACACTTGGACGCCACCGGCCACGGGACAGTCGACAAAGTCCCAACTGATCGCGAGGCGGTCCGTGGTGAACCCCGTCACTTGCTGGAACATGGGCAGGCTCATGTCGAGGTCGCCGTGGCTGCACTCGGGGCACCGGTCTGTGATTTGGCCCATGACGGAGCGCTTGGTTGGACACCGCGCGTCGACGCACGTGACGGACACACATCGTCCGCAGTGGACGCCATAGTCGTACTGGTTGTCGTTGATGGCCACGTGAAACTGAGGGGCTACCGGCAGCCACTTCATGAGGGCGCAGTTGCCGCCTTGGGGGTTCTCGCCATTGGGCGGGCCGTACGTGGTGGCAATCCCTGTGAAGGCTCCACTCGCTGCACAGGTGACGCAGGCGGCTAAGATGGATCGGGCGAGCTGGACGGCCATGACGATGTCCACTCGGACGTCGTGCGATTGGAATATGCCATGCGTGTGGCCATTTTGGCGTGTAAGATGTTGGCGGGTGTGTGCTGCAGGACGATGCGGGTGTTTCTCGCGTGGTGCACGGCGTCGGTTGTTGCGTGCGTGACCTTTTAATTTTAATGGTTCAATATCCCGATTTCTCACCCAACCCCATCGACTTTCGAAAAATCAAACGTGGCCGACCCTGGTTTTTTGCGACCGTTTTTTCCAGGTTTTAATATAAAACCCGATTGCCTGCCATCGAATAAAACCGGGTTTTATTCGGAAAATCGGGTTTAATAGGGTGCGGACAGCGCTCGTTGTTTCGAGGTGGGCAATTGGCAGTTTCGATTGCACTAGTGACCACGTCGGACATCGTTGTGGAGGCGGAGGCCATAGTCATCGACAACGAAGGCGACATCACCGACGGCAGCAATATCAACGCTGATCCTAGGTCCGGCGCAGGCGGTGATCCATTGAACGGCAATGGCAATGTCGATACTGCTTCAGGAGGGTGTAAACGTGGTCGGCAAGGCAGTGACCTGTGGAGTCTCTACACCGACGACGTTAACCCGCACCAGCACAAATCGGACTTCTGTAAGCACTGCCTCATGCTCGTGAATAAAACCATGGTTTTAATACCCACGAATTGGGTTTTAATGATTAAAACCATAAACCCGATTTGTCAGGCGAAGAATATCGGGATTTTACCACCCCTGCGAAACATTCCCCCAAAATCTTCGAATGGAGTGGACATTTGGCACGTGTGCAGTTACACCGAAGTTCGACCAGGGCGGGCTACCTCCACAACCACCCTGGCGATACGAGCTCACTGTCGTACGGAACATTCATCCACTTGAGACAGGAGATGCATACCGAGTCGGCTTCGTCCATTCCGCCACGAGGGGCGCCAGGCTAACGTGACGAACACTCCAAAGGTTCCGTCCACAAGCGGCCACAAGTCGTAGCACTTCCTGAGCGCCGCGAGCTGCACCAAATCGTCAAAGTCTCCCGGGTTGACAGTCCCTGCACTTGCGACAACATGACCTACAGCATGGTCACCCGCTTAGCAAGTTCTCATCCTCACCAAGCAACACCGACAAGGACAGCGTCAATTTATGGCCAGTATTGTGCACAATGACTCTGACATGACCCATCTGCATGCGAAAGAACGAATGCACCAACGCAATGCGATTCATGACTGAGAGAGAGCAGCAGCTCGACTTTGGCTACGATGATACACAAAGGAATGCACTGATCGCCCGTGCAGAGTGCCGCGCACACTTCAGGCCGTGCGCTGCGTCATCGAGGGGCAAACTCTGCATTGCGAGGAGATCCCAGGAAGACAACGACACTTTTTAGGTTACAGGACACTGATGGCGCGCTGGGTGGGGGTCTCGAGGACGGGGATTTCGCTCAGGGCTAACGCATTGACGTCGCTGACTTTGCTCTCGTCGAGTCCTCGGCGGGCGCGTCGCACCACTACGACGTACATGCCTACACCCACGCCAATGCACGCCATCGTGATGACGAGAATGCTGCTGAACGAATCCGATTTGGACAGCGATTGCTGCACAGAGATGTCCGTGGTGAAGGCCGAGACCGACGTGGTGGGCACGGTGGGGGTAAGCCCTGGTGGCGGCGACGGTCGGGGGGTATCGACCACGTTTTCCAACGGCCTGGATGTGGCTATGGTGCGGTCGATTGCCTCAGGCGATGGAATCGCCGCGGTTGATTCGATGGCTGTTGGCGACGCATTGGTCGTCAGTACGTCGAGCGATGCAGTGGTGGGGTTTACTGTTGCTGGCTCTGTAGCAAGTGGAGACTTTGTGCTTGCAGGGTCTGGTGTGGGCGTCGATGGAAGGGGACTGGCGGAAGAAGTTGGCGCAACTGATGGCGTGTCAGTTGGGAGCGGGACTTGGCTAGACGGAGAGACAATTGGAGTCTGAGGGGCAGGCGGCTCCGTGGGAAGAGCAGGTGGCCTATCTGTAGCTGGCTGTGTCGGTGGTAGGATAGGTGGTTCGGCAGGTGGCTGGGTCGGTGGTTGAGTAGGTGGCTGGGTCGGTGGTTCAGCAGGTGGCTGGGTCGGTGGTTCAGCAGGTGGCTGGGTCGGTGGTT